ATACCCGACGGGGACGGGGATGTGGATGAAAACCACATACCCGACAGGTACGGGGACGGGGACGAGGATGGATTTGACTCACGGGGACGGGGACGGGTATCATAAAACCCGTACCCGCCCCGCCCCGTTGCCATCCCTAGTTCTAAGCTACTAAATCACCCATATTGAGCTTTTGGGTCTGCTGAAATAATCTACTACGTTACATTTGTAACTTAATTTCAAATCCTAATAAGATGATCTATGTTTATATTATTCAAAAATTTAATATCAATTCCAATTTGTTTCTTTCGTTTTCATTTTAGACGATCAAAATGTTTTTTAGGTAACATGTTTAAATTCAAACAATTATACAAATATAAATAAAAATTCAACGATAATTTATGAATAAAATAAAATCCTTTAATAAATAATTGACATTGACATGAAATAATAGTATCTCATTACTTATTTTTAAATATTTAATTCTCAGTTTATTGTAATGAAAAAAATTAATAATGACAACACGTTACAAAGAAATTTGTATTAGCTAACAAATGGAAGTTTGCAAATTGATTGAGATTCTAGAGTATAGTAGAAGAGTTCATGATTAGAAGAATTAAAAGAAAATCAATGAGATAAGAGATAAAGGGAAAGGCAAACATTCCAAGATGATTCTTATTTATTTATTTTTTTAACAATATGAATGAGGTTTAGAATAAAAGAAATAAAAGGAAATAAATCAATAATATGTTATATATCACATTTTCTTCTTTAATTTAAATTTCATTGATTTATTTTGTTAATTATAGATAAAATTTTCCAAAATCTTAGATAGATTTTTGTTGAGAAGTTGAACATCATCCATCAATTGATTAATTGATAATAAGTAAATTTTTTGATTATTTTTTTTATATAAATTTTAATATCATGTAAGTTTTATACTTTTATATTTATATTGATTAAAAAAAAATTGGTTCCCCTGTGAAAATAAAACCAACAACAACAATAACAATATACAACTTAATATTTAATGCGTCGTCACGCATGTACAACTGGGAGATCTCCAACAATTGAGGTTGAGAAGTCTAGGTGGCATAAACCCTGCCGAATCCAGCGTTTGACCTATCTCAACCAGGTCAGGTATAGAACAACGTTAGGAACTCCGAAGAGAACCAGGTATAGACAACAATAGGCGATTGCTCAGGTGTGCCACTTAAACTCGGAGGTCCAGTACTACTGTCAGGACAGAAGGGTTTGGGTATGAGCCTACCACGACCTTAGCTAGCATCACAAATCCACATGTGGAGTTAGCCCACCCACTGTCCTCCAAGTACCACGCACCCTCCAGTATCTAGTCAAAGACTATATCTCTAACTAGATACCTTACTCAAATTGGTCATTCAACCATGACATGGATCGACTATTTCCATGTTGCCCACACAGTACTAAGGGATTCAACTTTAAAACAACTTTGAACTTATCACCTTAGTACTATGTATCTCAACATAGGACATATATCTTCACCATATGTCCCCAACTTTTCAACTTTACAACAATAAACACCATAACAACTTTACAACAATAAACATCTGGCCACTTGTAATCGGTATAGCTCGGCCTGGCCCCTATACCGTGGTCGCTTTATACACGTGTGCCTCGACCTTCCCCACACACGGGATCAACTAAGTCCTAGAGGAGAACAACACAATATCCACTCCAATGGACAACTTCCCAAGGAGGGTTTTTCAACGAATTGGGCTCTTAGAGCACCACAACTATCTCAATCCACACAATGGAATGAACAACTTCGAAAACATCTCCCCTAGTCCTAGTGATCAACAACTCATCATCACAGCTTAATCATCTTAACAACTTAAACAACATACAACTTTTCAGCAATAGACATCTTAACAACTTTACAGCAATAGGCATCTTAACAACAATAGACAACTTACAACAATACAACAATAGGCATTATATACCAGCTTGACAACTTCTTATTCAATCATGCAACTATGCAACTTTAATAATTTTAACATGCAAACAACTTAATTAAACAACTATATTCATTACAATATCAGCTTAATGCAACTTAACAACTTTATAAACAACTTCAACAATATACAACATATTTAAAATTCATTTATCATGTCAACTTACACAATATAAACAGCATAAATCAACTTAAGCACCCAACAACTCAACTATTTCAACAAAAGAACACCATGCATAAAGTTTCCCTAACTCTCCTGAAATTAAACAACCTACATTCTAGTTTCCCTCACCTGAAGATTGGCTCAAAATAGCCAATAACTGAGAAGAAGTAGAATTCCCTTCCGAAGCTCAACCCGGAACTTCAATCCTCCCAAAGCAAGCTTTCTAATATGAATTTCAAGAAAAAACAGAAGGCATTAGTGATCTAGAGGAGAAAAGGAATCATACAGAGAAATTTGGGAGAGAAAGGAGCTCACAGACTCAGAGACCTTCTCTCTAAAACTTTTCCCTAAAAACTTCACTTTCTCCTCAACCACACAACCCCTATTTATAGAAATCCTGGAGTGGCCAGAATGACCTTTTCGAATCCGGAACGGCCCGTTCTGCACCCCTTCATCATGTTCAAAAATCACATGCAGAACGACCCGTTCTAAAATCAGAACGGACCGTTCTGGGACTCATCTAGAATGGCCCGTTTTCCATCTAGAACGGCCCGTACTCCATCCAGAACGCCCCATTTTGGGGTTTGGAACGGCCCGTTCTCCCTCCAGAACGGTCCGTTCTCAACTACGATTTACAAGTTAATTTAGTAGTTTGAAACGACCCATTCCAGTTTGGGAACGGCCCGTTCTAGGCTACTAAATCACCCATATTGAGCTTTTGGACTTGCTGAAATAATCTACTACGTTACATTTGTAACTTAATTTCAAGTCCTAATAAGATGATCTATGTTTATATTATTCAAAAATTTAATATCAATTCCAATTTGTTTCTTTCGTTTTCATTTTAGACGATCAAAATGTTTTTAAGGTAACATGTTTAAATTCAAACAATTATACAAATATAAATAAAATAATTAAACTATAATTTATGAATAAAATAAAATCCTTTAATAAATAAATGACATTGACATGAAATAATAGTATCTCATTACTTATTTTTAAATATTTAATTTTCAGTTTATTGTAATGAAAAAAAATTAATAATGACAACACGTTACAAAGAAGTTTGTATTAGCTAACAAATGGAACTTTGCAAATTGATTGAGATTCTAGAGTATAGTAGAAGAGTTCATGATTAGAAGAATAAAAAGAAAATCAATGAGATAAGAGATAAAGGCAAACATTCCAAGATGATTTTTTTTTTTTAACAATATGAATGAGGTTTAGAATAAAAGAAATAAAAGGAAATAAATCAATAATATGTTATATATCACATTTTCTTCTTTAATTTAAATTTCATTGATTTATTTTGTTAATTATAGATAAAATTTTCCAAAATCTTAGATAGATTTTTGTTGAGAAGTTGAACATCATCCATCAATTGATTAATTGATAATAAGTAAATTTTTTGATTTTTTTTATATAAATTTTAATATCATGTAAGTTTTATACTTTTATATTTATATTGATTAAAAAAAATTTGGTTCCCCTATGAAAATAAAACCATGTAGGGTTGCCCACATTAACAATGCTGAATACAACCACTGGTTCCAAGAATGATGTAGAAGAATAAATTCAAACTGCGTGTAATAATCTTCTCTTGTTTGTGATTTAGTAGTAGATACGAGAGTGGGAAGAAAAAGGAAGACATAACTAGTTTTACAAAATTCAAACGATGGAATGTCACTCTTATTTATAACTGTAGTTTAATTTGTCTTCTGATAATTAATTTCTCGTAGTTTTATATCTTTTTGGTGAGATTGATTTGAAATTGAGAAAAAACACGTGATAAGGTGAATATGTCAATCGATAACAAACAGACGGGTAGCGTTTGAGCATACAGGTTTAATTTAGTCCACACACTATGGAATGGCAAAAACGAAGACTTATTATATCTACTACCATAACTTGAACACCAATTAATAATGTCCCACTAAATCGCATACTTTTCAAAACATCTTTTTTTTTTTTTTAAGGAAATATTTGTAGCGAAATAACTAGGAAATTCACCAAAAACGCGTTTGAGGCACAATGGTGAAGTGAGTAGCATAATAAATGTTACTCAGCTTAACGAAAAAAATAAATTGCAAACTACGGAATTTCGCTTTGTTCCCTATACTATCGACTGCAGTGTTTTGAATTCTTACACAGTGTCCAAAGTCCACCACCACGATGGATGACGATTCTGGATCTAATGGAATTGAGCCAAGTGTAATAATTGTTGTCATAGGTAGGATTTAAACTGTCATATTTGTTGATTTTCATCTTGTGTTCCGTGTTTGTTTATTCCCAAGATTTCTGTTGTGAGTTCTGACTGAATGCTATGGTGATCTTAATGCAGTTGTGATTCTTGTGAAGATAGGTCTTTTCATTTGGATAGTGCCCAAATGCATACAAAGATTTCAGGTTGTTCATGATCGAAGATCATCAAGTAGCAAGACACCAAACAAACAATTTATGACAGTGACTATGGATAAGTTTCTGAATGACATGGAAAAGGAGAAGCCAATCAGGTTCACTGATCAACAGCTAAGGATTGCAACTGATAATTACTCTTATCTGTTGGGGTCAGGAGGTTTCGGAGCTGTTTATAAAGGAAGCTTTAGCAACGGAACCATCGTAGCTGTGAAGGTTCTACGTGGGATTTCTGATGACAAGAGAATGGATGAACAGTTTATGGCAGAAGTGGGTACCATTGGGAAAGTTCATCATTTCAATCTAGTTCGTCTATATGGATTTTGCTTTGAAAGTCACTTGAGGGCACTGGTTTATGAGTACATGGCGAATGGCGCGCTTGAGAAGTACTTGTTTCATGAAAACACAACCTTATCATTTGAAAAGCTTCATGAGATTGCAGTTGGCACAGCCAGAGGCATTGCTTACTTGCATGAAGAGTGCCAACAGAGAATAATCCATTATGACATAAAACCAGGAAACATTCTCTTGGACAGGAATTTCAATCCTAAAGTTGCTGATTTTGGTTTGGCCAAGCTTTGCAATAGGGACAATACTCATGTAACCATGACTGGGGTTAGAGGGACTCCTGGCTATGCTGCACCTGAACTTTGGATGCCATTTGCTGTAACTCACAAGTGTGATGTTTACAGCTTTGGCATACTGTTATTTGAAATCATTGGTAGGAGAAGACACCATAACATTAGCCTTCCAGAAAGTCAGAAGTGGTTTCCAATGTGGGTTTGGGAAAAATTTGATGCTGAACAACTGGTTGATTTGATAACAGCATGTGGGATAGAGGATCAAAATAGGGAGACAGCAGAAAGAATTGTTAGGGTAGCTCTATCGTGTGTTCAATATAGGCCAGAATCAAGACCTGTAATGAGTGTTGTGGTGAAAATGTTGGAAGGTTCTGTTGAAGTTCCAAAACCTCAAAACCCATTTCAACACCTGACAGGTTGGACTTCTCCTACTTTTCCAGTCCTAGAATTGCAGATCGGTACTGATACAAGTATTAGTTCTGACTCTTCAGCAATGGTAACCAAATCCGTCAATGTACTTGCCAGTACTCCTGTTATGACTAAGTGTGAGATTGAATCAGCCTCTGCCTAAAATTGTTTAAAATGTGGCAATGTTGTTATTCTTTTCTTCTTCATATGCCTTCTCATAAGTTCGTTATTTGTCCAGGAGAGTTTAACTCAATTGGTTGAATAGGAACATGAGTGTTGTAAACAATTTAGTACTAAATTATATTCTTACCCATAAGTTCGTTATTTATATGATGGGTTGTTAATACCCTAGACCTTTTAGTTATGTAATGTTTGGATTAATTAAACTGCTTGAGTTATTGAATATTAACCATTGTCTTTGAGCCCATTTCTCTTTGATTGGGTAAATTTGATGATTGAGTGGTGTTTTGATAATTGATGAATTTGATGATTTATGTGCATAATGTGATTATAATGAGATGTTTTTTAATTGTACCTATATCATGCGATATGTGGTGATTGGATGAGCCAGGACAAAGAGACAGAAACAATTTGGATGAATTGTGATAGGTGTTTCAAAAAATCCTAATATAGATTTTTTGCAAGTAGTCCACGTAAGATACCCACTTTAAGCACGAGACTCTCATAGGTGGAAAACTTGCCTTTGTTCCTTTGGTGATAAGTGAGACAAGGATCTTGCAAAGTGTGGAAGTCATAAAAAGCACTCGTGCTTTAAACACTAAGTGTCAACATTTTCACGCTAAAGGTTGTAGTCATAAAGAGTGACTAAGTAGGCCTTAAGTATAATAATTCAATTTTACGTATGAAAGTTACGCTCTTTGGCACTAAGTGTGGGCCTTCTCACACTAAACAACGTATCCACAAAATTTTGAGGTTAAGTGCGAAGTAAGTTGCGTTAAGTGTAAAAGCCACAAATGTATGTAAAACCCCTTAGATTAGTCATCTTAACAATTACACTCATAATATTTCATAGGGTAACACTTTATTCAACTATTTGTTGATCAGAATCCTTCATTGTTCATAATCCTTTGTAACTAGTTGTTTTTTACATTATAAAAAAAAAGTCAATTTAGCTACCAAAATTAGCGATCGATTTTTTTCGTCGCTAATAGCAACATAATTAGCGACCGAATCTCATTGGGTTGCAAATTTTATTTAGCGACCAAATTAGCGACCGAATTTTTGAGTGGAAATAATCGGTCGCTAAAATAATAATTGTTGATTAAAATAGCGACGGAATGGTTTCGGTCGCTAAAAAAATAAAAAAAACTATTATTATTTATAATAATTTTAGCGACCAAATTAAAATCGGTCGCTAAAAAAATAAAAAAATATTATTATTTATAATAATTTTAGCGACCAAATTAAAATCGGTCGCTAAATGTAAATTTTTTAAAAAATTTAGAAATATATTTCTTTTAAATGAAAGCAAATATAAAAATATATAATATTATTTTTATAATGATAAAAATATTAATGATAAGAAATAAAAATCAATACCCTCCCAATAAAATTAATTTGTTTTTTAAAATAATACAAATTATATAATTTAAAATAGATAATTAATATATCATGATGTATTAAAAAATGAGAAACATAATGCTATAAAAGAAAATTAAATAATAATCTTTTTAATTGAATCTTTTTTAAAAAAATTAGACTAATTTAAATAATAATTTATCTAGAAAATTTATTTATTTTTCTCTTGAGAAATTTATTTCTCTTTTACCATGCTTAATATTTTATTACATTATTAGATAATATGAAAATACATAATTTATTGTGCTTTCCAATTTTGTTAAGATAAATAAACTTATTTTCATAAATCTTATTTTATTTTCATTATTATTTTTAAAATTGACTTAAACATCTAGTTCAATTTATATAAACATGTTAGTTCCATTAAATTAAAATTAATTGGCTTATATAAGGATTAATAAAAAATTATTAAGCAAATCTAAAATTGATAAAATATAATTAATGTTCCATTAGCTTAATAAATAAAAATTATAAGATAGAATTAATCTAAACATGCTGAAAAGTGGAGTGTTGTGAAATAAAATCCTTGAGAGGCCAAATATGAGTATTTCGTAGCGACCAAATTTGCAACGTCTATAAAATTTAATAAAATAAAAAATAAATCTTTAGCGACCGATTTATTCTGTCACTAATTTGGTCCCCATACACATCAGCGACCAAAATCATTGCAACCATTTTGCGACCGAAATTTTCGGTTGCTAAACCAAAATTTTCGGTCGCTAAATAGCGACTAAAATTTTTTTGGTCGCTATATAGCTTTGCGACTAAGATTTGTGCGACTACTTAAATTCGGTCGCTAAGGCAAATAGCGACCGATTTTAGCAATTTAGCGACCGATTTTGGTGGTCGCTAAATGCAATTTTTTTTTGTAGTGACTCTTAATGCGGGATATTTAACTGAATGAAGTGATGAATCATTCATTGAGTTAAATATCTTAGAATTTCTTATGCCAAGGGATTGGGTCTGAATGAATTTAGAGAACTCAATGGCAATGAGTAATGGAATCTTTAGAAAGAATCAATAGGAATACATAGGAGGGAGATTGATGAATTTAATCCCAAACTGTTTCTCGTATCTGTTTTCCTTCAAATTAAATTATCCTTTGGTTACTTAAGTTTGATCTATCATCCACATCAAATTTCGAACATGTGTAATTACTCAAGTTTTAAATTCACAAGCATCAATTAGTATAATAGAAATCATAGCTTACTTCACAAGTCCTTAAGGATCGACAACCTTTTAACTATATTACAGAGACTTGGGTGCGCTTGCCCAGAATACCAACAAGTTTCTTGCGCCGTTGTTGGGGACTTGTGTCAAGATAGTTTGTGATTTATATTGTTCTAGTTGTAGCTTGTTGTATATATTGTTTTGTTTTCATTTTTGTTAAATATATTCTTTACCTGGTTGTTCTAACTTTTCTGTTTAAGTTAGTCTTTGTTCCTGCTGAGCATTTGCTATTTGATCCAGAGATTGAGAAAACAGCTAGGAAAACTAATAGAAAAAGAAGGCGGCAAAGGAAGCTTGAACAAGAAAGACAGGAATAGGAGGGTACTTCCACCTCAGTTTCAGCTCAACACTCTATTCCTAAACCAATGGCTGAAGAAGGACCAGGTGGTGATAGACCACATCATCATCCTCCAAGGAGACTCCTAGGAGAATATAATCATCAGTTGGGTCCTAGACATTTCTCCAGCATCGCCAGGCCAACCAAGGGGGTGGAGATGAAACCAACACTATTATCTCTCATAACTACCAATCAATTTGTAGGGATGGACCATGAAGATCCCTACACACACCTATTTTCTTTCTATGAGCTTATTGACACTATGGGCGTGCCTGAAGAAGATGAAAAAGCAGTATATCTGCGATTATTTCCTTTCTCTTTGACAGGTAAGGCCAAGATATGTTCCTGGAGAAGATGAAGAAGCGGTATATCTACGATTATTTCCTTTCTCTTTGACAAGTAAGGCCAAGACATGGCTGCAGGCTCACCCAAATCAGAGTTTGACCAAATGGGAGGATGTAGAGCAGAAGTTTCTGGCTAGATTCTTCCTTCCTTCTAGATATATAAGTGCTAAATCAGCTATTGCAACTTTCTCTCAAAGCACTGATGAGCCTTTGTGTGAAGCTTGGGAGAGATATAAGTCCTTATTGAGAAAATTCCCAAATCATGGGTTTGATGATGTTGCACAACTTAACATGTTCTGTAATGGGTTAAGGCCACAAAAAAAGATGTTATTGGATGCTTCTGCAGGTGGTTCTATGATGATGAAGGATTCTGAGGAAGCAATCACTATTATTGATGCTTTGACAGCCAATGATTACCAAGCTCACCATGATAGGAGCCAACCCACAAAAAGGAGAATTCTGGAACTGGATACTCAGAATGCAATTCTAGCTCAGAATAAGCTTCTTTCTCAGCAGATGGAAGAGTTAAAGAAACAGATGTCTAAGCTTCAAGTAGGGTCATCTTCACGCTCTCAGCAGGTAATGAGATGTGATTTTTGTGCAGGTGATCATCCAAATGGACATTGCACCATCTCTAAACCAGATCAGGAGGAGGAAGTGAATTACATGAACAATCCAGGAAGACAAGGGAATTTCTCTGGCAATTATAATCATAATCAAGACTGGAGGAACAATTAAAATCAGTATTTTGGTTAGAAGCAAGAAGCAGGGCCATCACAAAGGCAACCTCCACAAAAACCATATCAAAATCAATCTTCTTATCAGCCAGACAGGTTATCAAAAATGGAGGACGCTCTTACACAGTTTATCTAGGTTTCCACAACCAATCAGAAAAATACTAAAGCTTCTAACAGAAATCTGGAAGTACAAATAGGGCAGTTGGCTAAGAAATTGGCAAAGCAAACAAGCAATAATTTTTCAACCAATACATAGGTCAATCCTAAAGAATATTGTTAATCAATTACAACCAGGAGAGACACTGTGATAGGAAATGAGATAGGTGATAATTTGAGAGAAAATAAAGATGGAGTGGATAAAGATAAGAGTGAATTTGAGTCTAAAAGTGAGAAAGAGGTGGAGTTGAATAAAGAGGCAGGAAAAATAGAAAATAATAAAAAAGAGAGTGACAAAAATGAGAGGAAAGATGGAGATGGGAGGGAGAAGAGCAAGAAGAAAGGGAGAGAAGTTAGTAGGCCTCCTCCATTGAAGAATCTACCTTACCCACATGCTCCATCAAAGAAAGACAAGGAACGACAGTTTACAAGGTTCCTTGATATAATCAAGAGGCTACAGATCAACATGCCCTTTGTAGAGGCCCTAGAACAGATGCCATCTTATGCAAGATTCATGAAGGAGTTGTTGACAAAAAAAAGAAAACTTAGTGAAGATGAAACAGTGGAATTAGAGGCAGGTTGTAGTGTTATAATTCAAAAGTCACTTCCACAAAAATCTAGAGACCCAGGGAGTTTCACTTTAACAGTCACCATTGGCAATCTCTCTGTGGGCAAGGCATTATTGGATTTAGGGGCTAGTATCAATCTTATGCCCTTATCTATGTTACAGAGGATAGGTGATGTGGAGGTGAAACCTACTAGGATGACTCTGCAGCTGGCTGACAGATCTATTAAGTACCCTCATGGTATTGTTGAAGATCTCTTGGTTAAGGTTGATAAATTTTTCTTTCCAGTTGATTTTGTTGTCATGGACATGGAAGAGGATTCTGAGGTTCCTCTCATTCTGGGTCGGCCATTCATGAAGACAGCTAAGGTCATTATAGATGTTGATGATGGCAAACTCAAGGTCAGGGTGCATGGTGATGAGGTGAATTTTAATATTTTTGAAGCTATGAAACACCCAAATGACAAGAAAGATTGTTTTAGAGTGGATGTGATTGATGAAGTGTGTTTGGAAGCTCGAAGAAAATTTTCATTAGCCACACCATTAGAGAAGGCATTAAATTTTGATATTAAAGTTGTAGGTGGAAAGAGGAAGCTGCAACTTCATGAACTTGAAGAAATGCATTTGCAGGCTTATGAATCCTAAAAAATTTACAAGAATAAAGGGAAGTCCTACCATGACAGAAAAATTGTGTGGAGAAACTTTCAACCAGGCCAACAAGTATTATTGTTCAATTCCAGGCTGAGATTATTCCTTGGAATGCTCAAGTCCAAATGGTCAGGTCCCTTTGTGATTAAATCAGCTAAACCTTCTAGGGCAGTGGAGTTGGAAGAACCAAATTCTAGAAGATCTTGGATGATGAATGGTCAGAGAATTATGCCATATTTGGGTGGTGAGGTTGAGAAAATCACCACTGTCATTCATCTCAATGATCCATGACTGAGTGAAGTGTCAAGCTAATAACAATAAAGAAGCGCTTACTGGGAGGCAACCCAGCCATTTTGGTTTGAATTCTCATTTTCATTTTAGTTTAATCCTTTACATATGTAGTTATGCTTTTGAAGAGTTGAGTTTGTGATTTGATGTTTTGATGGTGCATTCTATCAAATGTTTTGTTCCTTCAACATTCTCCTCTCTTGTGTTATGCTTTTTATAGTTTATTGAAGGTAATTGGAAGTGGGAGCGTGAAAGGAGAACAAAATGTGCTTCTTCCAGGTAAGTTTACAAAATTGACAAAATGACTCAACCTTTAAAAATGGCTCAGCCGTTTGGCTGCAGTATCTAATTTTTAGCTAAATTTTCCTCCCAGGGGGAAAACGGCTCAGCCATTTTTAAGGGCTCAGCCCCTCATATCAGCAAAACATTTTGGTTGAGAATTCTGCATCAAACGGCTGAGCGCTTTTAAAGCGCTTAGCGCTTTTCTTTATATTGCTCGCTGCACCCAAACGGCTAGCTGAGATTATTCTCTTCCACACACACCATCATTCTCTTTGATTCAAGGTAAGTTTCAAGCTCTCTCTTTTGATTTCTGTTGTGCCTTCATGAAAATATCTTATTAGTATTTGATGTGTTTTGTGTCCTCTTGTGGTGATGACAAAATTCTTTTTGGGAATCAAATTGATAATCTTTCTAGAATGAGCATTTTCATGGTTCAAGTTTCCAATGAGCATTGTTTTCTAATCTAGAAGTTTTCATTATGCACAAGTGGTTGTACATTTTTGACTTTAAGTATGTGCTTCAAGCATGTTCTAGTGAAATTGAAATGAGTATGAAGTTGTTGATGTTTAGGGCACTTAACCAAACCATGTGAGTGAGTGGGCCAAATAGTTAAAATTCAATCATTGAGAGTCATCACTGATTCATGCGGTCAGTTTTGTTTGAGTCTCCCATGAGTTACAGTTAAGCTATGCATGGAATTTACTAAGGTAATTGTTTATTATACTTAGCCAGTAGCCAAAAAGCCAACCCATGAATTACATTGACCCTTGATCAGCCATTTTAATCCTAAACAGAACCCTTAAGCTTAAAGAAAACCATGATTGTCCATAGCCTTGTTGGTAAGAGACATTATCATGAAACAAGTGGGTTTGAGCCAAGTTGGGGGTAAATGTATGGAGTGTTCATGTGGTTAGAGCTACACAAGCAAAGTATTGTTCCCTGTATATATATGTAGTATTCAGTGTCAAAAAAACAAAAACAAAAACAAAAACAAAAAAAAAGAATAAAAAAAAGGGGATTTATAATCAAGGTTCCTTGTTACCATTCCATCAATTATTGTAATATTCTAAAAGAGAAGGAACAAGTAAATACCATCAAAAGAGGGATGAGACATAAGAGTCAAGAGAGTTCAAGCTAGTGCAAGAATTTGGTATTAACCCACATGAGTGAGAATGTCTCTTGTCAAACAGGCCTTTAAATTCCCAAAGAAAAACCAAATCTCTTATAGTCAGGCCACATTACAACCCTCTTTAAGTCCTTAGTGATTCCTGTTTAGTTCTAACAATAGACTTGTGGGAGATGAATAACAAAGCAGACTTAGCGTGTTTTGGTGCATGAAAAGAGAGAAACATTCACTCTTCACAGCATATTAAAGAGAGATACACAATGGTGAGGAAATTTTAGTGCTCTTGATTGAAAGCAATGGAAGATGAGTGAATATTTCCTTTGAGTATGGATGTTCATAATTTTTGTTATCATGTGGGCACCATTTGTAGTAACATGTACTCACTGGATTTTGCAAACAAGTTTCATTAGACTCTTTGAAATCATGTAAGTGCATTAACATATTTTTTTGGGATAAACTTTTAGTGATGCACTGGGTATATAAGTTAGTTATATTATTATCTCAATTAAGACCTTTTGTTTGAGGACAAACAAATTTCTAAGTTGGGGGTAGCTAATCAAGAAACTTGTTGGTATTCCGGGCAAGCGCACCCAAGTCTTTGTAATATAGTTAAAAGGTTGTCGATCCTCAAGGATTTGTGAAGTAAGCTATGATTTCTATTATACTAATTGATGCTTGTGAATTTAAAACTTGAGTAATTACACATGTTCAAAATTTGATGTGGATGATAGATCAAACTTAAGTAACCAAAGGATAATTTAATTTGAAGGAAAATAGATACGAGAAATAGTTTGGGATTAAATTCATCAATCTCCCTCCCATGTATTCCTATTGATTCTTTCTAAAGATTCCATTACTCATTGCCATTGATTCGTTCCAAGTCTAGATTTAGAAAACGTTTTCCAACCAAATTCTAAATCCGAAATCAAAGATAAATGATCAGTTCATCAAAGCATCAAGAACGGAAACAAATCACTGACATAGAGTAATAGATGAGATATATATATGAATCAAAAAGGAATACAAAGGAGTTCGACGATTACATCAATCCCAACCCTAGAGCTTAGCTCTCCATAGTACAAGAAATCACCAAATAACAAGATGAAAGGTAGAAGAAGAAAGAGATCCTTTGAAGAATCGCGTCCCCATGAGCTCCAAATGCTCTGTTTCTCTCCTTTCTCTATTTTTCTCTCCTCGTACAACTTGTGATCCCCTTTTTCTCTCTCCTCTGCCCTTTTATAAGTGCTAGAATTAAAACAGAGTAGGCAGGAAAGAAAAGAATTTGCTCAGTGCCTTGAAACGACTGAGTAGTTTGAAGAATTCTTCACCATGAAGTAATCTGAAGGGCTGAGCTGTTCAAATCCGCTGAGCGCCTGAGAGATTCTTCATTGTTAAGCAAGCACAAGGGGCTGGGCGCTTCATGTCCGCTGAGCGCCTAGGAGGCAGAGAACACTCCTTCTTCCAAGGCCAAAACCGTTCAGCGCCTTAGAGTGGCTGAGCGCCTCTCCTTTGCTGCATTTGTTGAGCTCTCTGGCTTGAAAGCGCTCAGCCGTTTTAAACGACTGAGCCGTTTGCCTCCAGATTTCAAAACCTACAAAATAACACAAAATTTGATCAAAAGATTCATCGCTCCTTGTACTAACATAAATCAAAAGTCCTTCTTTGATTCTAAGTATATATAGACCAAAATTATATCAATATGTAAAAACATTGTGCTAGATAAGTGTCTCAAATTCATATTTCAACAAACTAATTAGACACTTATCAACAACCTTTCATGGCCCTCAATGTCACATCAGAATTCCCAGCAAAATGAAAATTTCACAAGACATTCTAAAAGCCAATTATACCACTAGTGCAAAAATTGGATTTAAAATCAGAGTCTTAAGATCGATTACAAGGTAACCGATTTTAAAAGTGACGCGGTGGCAATTTTGTAAATAATATGAACGCTTTTAAGATCGGTTAAAATTTAACCGATCTTAAAAGTAGTTTTAAGATCAGTTATTTTATGACTGACCTTAAAAGGTATGTCTGACACAACTTTTAAGATCGGTTAAGATCAGTTATTTTATGACTGACCTTAAAAGGTATGTCTGACACAACTTTTAAGATCGGTTACAAAAGAACCGATCTTAAAAGTTGTATCAGACATAACTTTTAAGATCGGTCATAAAATAACCGATCTTAAAAGTACTTTTAAGATCGGTTATTTTATGACCGATTTTAAAAGTGCTACTTTTAAAATCAGTTATTTAAGAACCAATTTTAAAAGTGCTACTTTTAAAATCGGTTATTTCAGAACCGTTTTTGTATGTAGTATACAAAATCGGTTATTAAATAACCGATTTTAAAAGTATCGTCAGAAACCTTTTATATTTCCCTCCATTCTCATTCTCTTTAATTTTTTCCTTCATTCCTTTTTTTACTCTCTCGCGCTCTCATTTTCTAAAGTCTCCCAAAAGGTAAATTTCGTTGTCGTTTTTGTTTTCGTCTTTTCATGCTCTTCTCGTGTCTCTTTTCGTCTTCTCATGCTCTTCTAGTGTCTCTATTTTCGTTGCAGGTTCATTTTGGGTAAATTTTAAATTTGGAACGGCCCGTTCTGCAAGGAGAACGGGTCGTTCTACTTGCAGAACGGGCTGCTCTACTTGCAGAACGGGCCGTTCTGAGTTGGTTTTAACTTACTCCAAACTATCCTAGAACGGCCCGTTCCAAATTATAATTTTAGGCCTTTTTAACAACCTGGAATGGCCTGTTCCAGTTTAATTTTTTTCAAAACCCCGACTTTTAAGATTGGTTATAAAACAACTGATCTTAAAAGTTAACTTTTAAAATCGATTATTTAACCGATTTTAAAAGTCTAATTTTTAAAGTCGGCTCTTTTAAAATCGGTTACAGAGCCGATTTTAAAAGTTGAAAATAATCGATTTTAAAAGCCTTTTTTTTCCACTAGTGTACATTTATAAGCTAACAATTATATACTTTATTGTACTAATATTAATTATTTCTTACTAGTGCAATTCGCTATACTTATAGGGTTTCTACGGGAATCCACGAACACCTATAAATTAATAAATCCACACAATTGAACAAAATTACCTATGACTAATCAGTTACTTCAATTAAAATGCAAGAGAATCATAAAGAGAAATAAAATACAAGTCACATACAGAATTTGGGATTGCCCCGTCATATAACATACAAGATAGAAAGAAATTAGAAGTTAATCTCACTTTTCCCTCCCCTTTACCTCGATGAGAGTTAGACAAAGGGTGTGAAATTCTAGGATGATATTCATGTT